TCTGCTACACCATGTGAAAGAAATACTTGACCGGAGTGGCTTCTCATATATCTGGCATAACGACAACGTTGATGTCGATAAGCAACACATAATTATGTACATTGCTTAGAAGTAGACTTTCTGACATGTATATCCAAACCTTTCTTTATAATCTCTCTGTTGATGCCGGTAAGCGAAGATTTTATAGACATCTGAAACCTGTATACACAATGGAATGTTATCTTCACATCAAAGACTTCGATGTTAGATCAGCCATATTAGCGCACATACATTAGAAATAGAAAAGGGTACATACAAACAATTGTCTGTTATTAAAAAACAACAGAATATGTATTACTAAATATTGCACAGGATCATGCAGTGGAGGATGAAATGCACTTTATTTGCTATTGTCCTCATTAATTATAGCACTTAAAGGGATAAGTTATTCTAAATGGTCACCAAAATGTTCCCTAGCTTTATTTACCTTCCCAGCCTTCAAAAAACTGCATTTCTAATAACACCTCCCAATTCATACATCTCGCAAAATGTCAGTCATTTTATACTCCACTGTACACGGAAATGAAACCAACAATAACTACAAATGTGTATCTAAAGTGGCATTAACATTACTTATTATCATTTTTACTGTTTATTTTTGTTATCCTGTTCTTTCAATTAGCCCTTGGGCATGAATTTGTAATAAACTTTCATTATTAATATCATACAGGTTTTTAAAAAATGTTTTTTGGTTAGGTATGATGAAAAATGGTCAAGTATAGTAACATACCATCAGTGTACTACTATGTAGTAAATGTCTATACAGCATATCTCTACTGATCTAGATTGAAAAAAAGTTTAGGTACTAGCCTTAAGCACGCGATTGTTAATTGTTATCCTTTTTCTGAGTGAAATAACAGTATGCTCGAAGTACCATTACTTCCACGCGGCATGTAAATGACATCTCCATTCGTGGAGTCCTCATAACCCCATGCAGAGCCTTTCATTATCTAGCACAACGTTAATGCACATAATAATTTACCAAGGAACTTACTTGCTATCTTCAGCTAACAGAAAGCAATAAAAATGTGTAAAATTGGCCTAGTTCCATTTACAGGTATCCCCATATCCCCCATATAGAGCCCAAATCAACATCCCCAATTCATCAAAGCTTCTTCGATAATTGACTAATGATTATTACACATCGACATGCCCACATTGTCCAAAGTGTACCCAGTATGGAGAAGTCATTGCCCGATTTAGTACAGTCCAAAACCCGAAAATCCCCCATAAAGACCCCCCAGTCACGGCTCGCGTTATGTATGGCCCAAACCAACGACGCTTGTTTTTGCATCAGTAGATGTTCCTCTCTCAAACCACAGTAAAACCATTCACCAAAGCCACTGCCCATATGAGATAATGCGCCTTAAAGATGACTAAAAATGCATAGAGATGAAAATTATGCTTTCATTGGTTCCGGTAACCCCCTGTCACTCCCTCTTAACTTCAAGGTGTCCTCTTGAACTTTTGGTCTGTAAAACTAAGTAAAAGCTATGCTATGTGGTAATATAAACGTTTTATCCATATCTTTATCAGAATCATCAGTGCAGCCATCGCAAGTTCAGTAATTTTCAGCCATACATTACCTGATTTCGGAGGCTCTCGGAGGGGGGTCCCAGATCTCCATAACGAAAAATATCTGGAGGGTTTTAAATATATGGCTGCTCATAGTTCCCCATACCTATCTCACATACAAAGTTTGAGTCGATTTGGCCGACCCCCATCTTCCGACCTCTGCCTGGTTTTCTCGTGCAATGACTCTTAAAGATCATATATCTGCGGAGACTCTTAATTTTATTGAAGTACCCACAGAACTTGAGTGTCTGTGGGTACTACTCAAACCTAATTGGTCGCCTCGTTCGATTTCTAATATTGCCATTTGTGCTGTCTATCACCCTCCAGCGTCTTCATACCAGGAATTGCTCTGCAAACATCTCATAGACAGCGTTGATAAGATAAACACCAAGTATCCACTTGCTGGGATTTGTGTTTTAGGGGATTTTAATAGATGCGATGTTACTAATGTTCTACATGGAGCCCAGGTGAAACAACTTGTTAAACAGCCCACCAGGGGAGATGCCATTCTTGATCTAATCATTACTAATTTGTATCCCTTTTATCACCCTCCTCGTGTCGAAGAGCCCTTGGGAACGAGTGACCACAACACGGTTATATGGTCTCCCTGTGATCATATACCTGTTAATTCTAAAATAAGAACACAATTTCGTTCCTTTAAAGACTCTGAAGTGCGCTCTTTCGGTCGGTGGATTTCCTCGCACCCCCTGGACAGAAGTTTTTGATGCCCCTGATGTTCAAACAAAAGTAGATATATTGTATCAAACCCTTCATTCAGAAATAGATCAACATTTTCCAATGAAATCCTTTGTGAAACACAAATCTGACAAAGAATGGATTACTCCCCAAATTAAAGCTGTTATCAAGAAGCGACAGCGGGCTTTTCACTCTGGAAATATGCCATTGTATAGAAAGCTTAGAAACAATGTGAATCGCTTGTGTGTGAAGGCAAAGAAAAGACATTATTTGCGTAAGATTCAGGTGCTTAAGAAGGAGAACCCAGCTAAGTGGCACATGCATCTACGAAATATACTACATTTTCGGCGTAGCTTATCAGTTTCTGTCCCCAGCGCTACGTCCTTAACGGACAAGGAGATTGCTGATGTGATCAACCGTCACTTTTCAGACATCGTTAACCAACTTCCATGTTTAGATCCTGAATCATTGCCATCTTACTTACCTTCTCCTTCCAGACCACCACAAGTACATTCCTGGGAGGTCTACGAAATTTTAAAACGCATTGATGCAAGAAAAAGCTGTGGTCCCGATAATCTGTCCCCCAAGATTGTCAAAACCTTTGCTGTTAAATTGAGTGATATATTGGCACATATTTTCAACTGCTCTTTGGATGAGGGACGAATACCCAAACAGTGGAAAGAAGCCATAATTTCACCCATTCCAAAGAAAAGTCCTGCAACAGTCGAAAATCTGCGTCCCATATCACTCACTTCTATCTTGATAAAAACGTTTGAATCTTTTATCACAAAATGGATCCTTCTTGACATAAGCGACGTGCTTGACCCTAACCAATATGGCAGTAGAAGGGGGCGATCATCTGTTCACTACCTCACTAGTCTGGTTGACTCAATACTTCTTGGCGCTGACACCCCTAAAACTATCCAGACTGTCCTGTTAACAGATTTTTAGCAAGGCATTTGATAAAATTGATCATACAGTATTAATCCATAAACTGTTAACTTGTGGTGTACGTACTTCTATTGTACCATGGATAAGTGAATTTTCTCAAGTGAACGTACACAGTGTGTTCGGTACAGAGGCGCAACTTCTGGTTGGGAGAGTATTTCATCAGGAGTTCCTCAGGGAACCAAATTAGGGCCTGTTCTCTTTTAGTATTTGTAAATGAGGCAATGGAATCCTTTGTGGATAGATGGAAATACGTAGATGATCTGACTTTAAAGGAAAGCAGATTATTAAGTGTACCAACCTCGATGCAAACATCGGTTAATCAACTTGAAATGTGGTCGTCAGAAAATCATATGTCACTAAATGAAGATAAGTGCAAAATAATGAACATCACTTTTATTAATGACCCTCCTCCTCCCCCCGATATCCTTCTTAATGGTAAAGTCCTTGAGCATACAGAAGTGGCATGCATACTTGGACTGTGGTTGACAGCGGATATGAAATGGGATAAGCACGTAGAGGTCATTACGACAAAAGCAAGCTCACGACTCTACTGGTTAAAGAAATTAAAACGTTTCGGCCTTCCCATCAACGACCTTTGCGAAATCTATTTATTATACATACGACCAACCGTTGAATATGCTGCCCCTGTATGGAATGCCAATATAACACATCAACAATCCGATAAATTAGAACGAATACAGAAACGTGCTCTAAGAATAATTTTAGGCCCTCAATACTCATGTTATGATGAAGCCCTTTCCCATTTTGGCCTCTGTACCTTGAAAACTAGACGAGAATCGCTAAGCCTTAAATTTGCCAAATCTCTGTTGAATTCGCCGACGTTTAGAAACTGGTTGCCCCCGCTACGGAAAGATGTTCACAACAGAAATTTAAAGGGCAATAACCAGCTCTGTATTCCGATGGCAAGTTCCAATAGATATAAAAACAGCCCCATTCCATACTTCACTGCACTTCTGAACAACGTCAGGTAACCTATCAGTGTGTGGTAATTTTTATTATGATTATTGTCTAATTATTTTAATTATTTTGCAATGTATAGTAGTTTCTATAGATTTTATCAAGTGTTTTATTCATTTCTTGTAACTGCCTAATATGCATAATTCAGCGACTTGTACTATGTACAAGTCGCTGCAATGTATTTTAGTGTATTGCTTTCAATTGAAACAATACCAAAAGAAATGAAGCATACAAAAAACTTTGAAAATGTTGGTAAAATTTGACACTTAATGATGACTGCAGGATTAAATAACACACAAGATTCCATGTCTGTATGATTGCAGTGCACATGTGATCACCGTTTTGATAATTTTCAAGGCTAGTATAAGCAATCATTCAGGTTTAATAGCTGACTAGGTATACGTAGCGCAACAAAACAAGCAAGCAAGGTTAAATCAAAAATCAAAGGCGAACGTACCGTTGCACTCGGAGTGACATTTTTGTTGACAGACTCCGTTGATTATCTCCGTCCCTTCCCGGCAGATGATGAAGTCCTTTGCCGGCTTGTCCAGCAGTGACAGTCCCATCACCTTGACAGGAGACTCCCCACTGCCGAAGGAATAGTACCGCAGGGACGCCACCTCGTTGAATGTAAAACTCAACCAGACGTGGGGACGCTCCTATCATAATTTTAGTAAAAAAACATATTAATAATGTTTTGTCCAAAAAAACTATGCCTTTCTGTCAATGTACGAATGCCTAAATTTTGAACTATATATACACACCTCGTTGTCAGGCGTCTTGCCGTATTGAATGACTGATGTCGTGTCGTCCACATCTTCAGTCACACAGACAAAGTACGACTGGTACAGGGTTGCCGAACCCAGGCCGCCGGCGTTGTCATTCAGCTGGGTGGTTTGTAGCCGAAGTGCCTACATGTTTGTATAAAACATGTTCTTACTGTTAGTCCCATTACACATTGCCGTGCACAGCGGTAACTTTAGTAATACTTAAGTTTACAATATCTTAACCGAATGTATCGGAAAATACATTCCTGATAAGTTCAGGAAAGTGTCTGCTCCAGATACAACTCTGTAAATAGTCTACGGAATAGCTTCATGCTGATATCTTAAACTACTGACATCCTCCTTACCTTTTTGTCCCATGGATGAATAGCTAAATATCTAATGCTCAGACTGATGCGCATATCTCAGCCTTTAAAAAAATTCGTGACCTACAAATCCGTGACTCCGAACAAAACTACATGTTAGTGAATGCTACTCAAGAAGAAGAATATATATAGAAAGAAAGACAAAATTCTACTCTAATCCTAATTGTCGTAAAATACGTTGTGTATGTTAGTAAACCTTGACAGGTTAAGGTACCTCACGTTACAATTCAGAAAACTATGACTACGCGTTCTGACCTTATAAAGTGCCACTCCTTCAGGTGTTATCTGTACATATATCCAGGTCTCATGGTTCTGCGGGATGCTTGCAAACACAACAAAGATGTCGCCTTCTGATGCTGCAGTGAAGTGGATGCACTTTCCTCCATCGGTCGGATCAAAGCGATGCGCGTTGGTCCATTGGATGCTACACGGTATGTCTCCAACTGTGTCACTGCAGAAGAGCAGCCAACATGTTAACAATTCTACATTCATCATAGTATTATTATTTATCAACGTGTTATTTATATTACTTAAAATGTTTCATTTCTAATTCAATGTGTATTTAAAATGAATTGTTCTTTGTGAGGCCACTAAATCCCATATTGGTAGTATTTAATCGGAAGTGGGTTTACTTACCTCTTCTGGCTTAAGTGGTTGAGTAGTTGTTTGTACTCGGCTCTGGCGACGTCACGACCTTTTAGCCACTGTGGTATGTCTGTCAGTAGTGTAGCTGAGGCTGTGAAGTCGTCATCCGTCACCGTGAAGACACCTGTTCCCTCATCATACGTCATGACAAGCCCCTGAACGCTGACCTGCGAAATCGCCAAGTCATGTAGAACTGAATTTTGTAATATCATGAAAGTTCATCTGTGCTGGTAGTAATCATAGTAAATGATGAACTTTGTTCCAATACAAAGATTACAAAAAGATCAAATTTTTGACGACCACTGTTGCCTTCATCGGGATAATTAATAACCAATCACTTTAATACACAATCTCGCGAGAGTTGCGATATACAGACACGTGACCTTAATCACACGAGACTTTACGGATACGTGACGTAAGCAATAGCTCAAAAGCACCAGGCAGTTTATATCGTCCACCGTCTCTGTGATGGCTGGAGTGTCCTGATGAAGGCGATAGTGGTCGTTGGAAATTTGATCTCTGTGTAATCTTTGTATTGGAACAATCTTCAACATTTTACTAACATTTTAAAAACTGTTATAAGAAGGTTGAAGATTGTTAAAAGACTGTTTAGGTGACGAAATGAATGCACCGTGTTCTGTATGTTCTGATTTGTTTACCTTTTTCGCCTGGACGTCATTGCTTCCCCCGTTTTTGTAGCCATCATACAGATGTGGTACAGACCCTTTCCTGGTAGAGAACCACTTGTGACGATTGAACTTAAGTGTCAGCACGTCTTGAGCCAGAAGAATCCCCGGGATGTCGTACGGCATGTCAAACACGACCGTGAACTCCTTTCCCCCGGTCATGTCTTCCCATGTGGGCACGCCGGTGTTGTCTTCCTGAAGGAACGCCAACATGGCGGTTTCACAGCCTGCCTCTCCAGCGGGCAGGTGGAAGTCTGAACTCAGGAGACGACCCTACAGGTAAAACATGCTTAATGAGTAATGTCTACGTTCTAATATCTTAGATCATCACTGGACTGGAATTTCAAAGCCAATTAGGATCTAGAATCCTTCAAGGATTCGATATTATTTGTATCAGTAAATATAAAATAGAATAATTGATACGAATTAAAAATGAGTTTAAGTTTATTTGTAAAAAGGCGGAATGTTAATGTAACAAGTATCCTCCTTACCTCTTCTAGGTACACTGTAACAGCACGTTGAAGCGCCAGCCTCCTCTTCGTCATGCTGTCTTCAAGGGCTTTACGGTTTTCAAAATTACAATAACGGATCTCAGTAACCGTTACCGGTTCACTTCCATTTTTAGGTCCTTTGTTGCCAACATCCGGTTTTACTGTCTTTTGAGTGTAATACTTTCGGCCAGTTCCCACTTCCGTCTGAAGATCCCTAAGATAATAATCAATTATTAATCGGTTTTCTACTATGAATAGAGTTATAGCGAAACTACGTACATTACAAATCAAACAGTTGAAATCCCATTGTTCTAAGTACATTATCTGAATGCTTGCATGCACTATTTCGTAATTTAAAAACAAGGCTAAATAAATGTACAATCTACTACTAGATATTAATTTGGTATCTAGTGAAAGCCATCTTATCTAATGTGGTGACCTGTCTATTTAGACTATTTTTTTTATTACCTCTTCATTTACTATAGGCAGGTTTTGTTGAAAAGTACTATATACATAATTGTATAGTCTTACCTCCTACCAAAGCAACCATAGTCCACATCTCCTGCAGGGAAGAGCGAGGCGAAGGGGATGTTCAGTAGATCTGAGACCAGCCTCAACACGAAGGAGAAGGGTTTGGGGTAGTCGTTAATGGACTCTAACCAGTCCTTCAGCTCTGTTGTTAGGGCTGTCGTGTACATCTCCGTGATGGCAGCGGCGATCTTCTGGTCTCCGCCTTGAACCACCAGCTCCTCGTGACTGTACTCCTGGGCTGACCTGAATGGAAGAGATCAAATATTGAGCTCAATCTGTGATTTTGACAAGTAAAATTATAATTTTAACTTAACCAAGTATCATTTCTAAAATCAAACAAAAGATTCCATTTTAGTTATGCATATGTGTTTCAAATTAACAACAAAGATCTTTCAGAGTCTATATACACAAGTAAATGAGACTGAACATTAAAAACGAAGCAAGATCGTTTGGAAAAATAATAATGACATTGACATTGTAAACATACTAGATTATGCAATTTTGCACCTACAGCAGAGCGTATTTGCATTTGATGATAATAAATGTGTATCCATGCCTATATTTAACTCTTAAATAAACAGACTTACGCTTGCTTCTCCTCTTGTCTGTTGGCCTGTGATTGTGAATTAGAAGCTGCCTGTCCAGAAGACTGTTTTGATTCAGTCTTTGTCTCGTGCTCGTGCCACCAGCTACTGGACTTGGTCTGTGACGCCTGCGCTGAGAAGGTGCTGAGGGTCATCTTCCAGTCAGCCTCGGCTTTAGTCGCGAATTCAGACATCGACAGGTCCTGTGTAGCTTGTTTTGTTTTGATGATCTTTAGCTGGCCTCCAAATTTGGCTGACTTGATGTAGTGTGTTCCCCAGCGGAGGTAAAAGTTTTCTAAAATGGAATATATAGGAATATGTAATATAACCGGTCTTGCTATAGACAACATCTTGCAATAAACGTGTTGTAGAAGATTACAATTTGTATCGGTTTCATCACCAGTAATGTGTCCTTCACTTTGATTTATAAGTAAAAAAATACAATGACATTGAAATTGTTTTATATATATTCCTTAGTTCATGAATGATATGGATTTGATATAGCTAAGCGAAATATTTTCAACTTACGAAAGATAATTTCTGCACCGGGAGAGAAGTAGGACTCAGGCAGGGAAATAAAGTCTCGCAGGAAGCCCACGTTTAACTGTTCAGGCGTCACGTCGTCCATGAAGATCTCATACCTGGAGATCACGTAACACAAAATAGAAGCAGGTCATTCAATTTTCAAATGTAAATAGCCCCCGAATCCCTCATTACCTTTGCCAAGAAGGTTATGTTATCTGGGGCGTTTGTGTGTCTGTCTGTGTTTGTTTGTGAAAACGATGATAGCCCATGAAGGCTTAATGTATTTGAAAGGCGGGTAGGTCTTGATGAGACCTCAAACCAATTAGATTTTGGGCCCTCTGGCGGCTTCAGCATAATTATACTGCAGCTCTGGAACTGCAGGGGCATGGTTTAAAACGTTTAAAGGCGGATAACTCAAGAACCGACTGAAGGATCGTTGTTACTTTTAGTACGTAGGTAGCTTAAGTGATGCCTAACATAATGTTATTACTGTTATGAAAATATGTATGTACTTTGCATAATAAATGAGCAAATTCTATAAATCAGCCGGATTACATGAAAGGACTTTTCAATCTTGTGACATATGTAGTTAAAACGAGAGAAACACAGGCAGATATCGAATATGTAAATAAGCATTTGATTTGCATTATTTATGAGGAAATGCTATAATGGCATTTGTTACAAAAAGACTGTATTTTGGTGTAGGATATGATCAATATATAGAACTCATTAAATTAAGGATCTTATTTACGCAATCTGGGGAAATAATCTATAATTTCTTAGCCATGAATGATAACATCACTTGACAAAGGTATAAGATCGCTGAACTCTAGTTGGTATTTGGTACTATAATTTTAAGGAAAAAAAAACGTAGTTAGCAATTTAATAACAGGGATTTGACCTGTAAAAGGAGCATCATAATTAATCACCTGAATATGTTTATCTCCAGCATGGCCATGAATGTTTGTGTCTGCTTCTCACTCAGCTGAGCGCTGGCAGAGGAGCTGGCACTGAAGCTTGATGATTGGCTGGATGTGCCACTCTGACTGGATCCTCCTACTCCTGCTGACCAAACAAGTCCAAACGCTCCACCCCCTGCTACATGTCCAGAAGCCTTGTTGATATCTTCCTGGAACATGGCACTGGCAGAAGTGACGGCTGATTTCTCCGCAAGGTATTTCCTGTAGTCTTCCATTGAGCTGAAGGTGTAGGACTCTACATCTGTGTCGTATATGCCTTGTACTGTCATAGAGTCGGGTACTTCATTTTTACCGTATCTGTTCAAATACAAAAGAAGTTACTACGTATACTGTTCGATATTAGATATATTATAATATTCCTAATAATAACATTTCTTTTACTCAGTGTTCTAGTATTTTCACTTGATTTTTAATTATCTGAATTCTGCACTCACACACACACATTAGTGTACATTTGACTTGAGAATTTTATCTTTAGCTGTGCCTAAATGATCAAATGAAATAATAGAATAGGTAATTAAATGTAGGTAATGAGGTGGTGTCAGAATAATCGGGTTCGTCTGGCTATAACTACCTTACAGATTCCTTTAAGCACTTACTTATCAGCAAGCTACACTTTACGTAAAATTCAGGTTAGGGGTTGATATCATAAAGTAATTAGTTGTCAGTAGGGGTCCAAATAATTTCTTAATAAAAATAAGTACTAGTATGTAGTACTTACGTTTGCAAGTTTTTACATGATCTCTGGATGACACTTTTCTTCCTAGATTCAGCCGAGTACACGCCTCTTCCGTCAAACCCGACACCGAGGTAGGTTGCGCCGTCTATCAGGTTCTGTTTATTGAAAAGGTTAAGCAACTTTCGTGTCCAAGATACATGCAAAATAGCTCGAAATAAAAGGTTGTAAATTGGAAAGCTTTCTAAACATGGCGAAGGAAATCATTATCACAAAGCAGGCAGACAGTTTTGGTTTATGTCTACCGTTCAATGCAATGATTCATAATACAAAAATCAAATTAAAATACAGAGGCAGATTGAGATTAGTTTCACAGATACATTGATTATAAAAATGCTTTCTAAGAGATAGACAGACAAAGCACTTAATTACCGGACAGCCTTCCAGTGGTATCTTTGCCTCCCAGCAGGGGTCTCCATTTTTATAACCTGTCCCGAAGCAGCCGTTCATCAGAACTGGTCCTAGTCCGGCTGGGTAGGTGTAGGCTGCTGCCTGTCCACCGGAACTGCCTTTGTCTTCATCTCTTAAGTATACAAAAAAATCATATTCTGTGATATGAGCATACTTGATCTTAAGTCCTCATCTGATTTTAATGAAATGCATGTGCTTTATTGACGTTTATCATATTGTGTTATACAGGTAATGATCTCTCAACATCATTTTTATAAAAAAAAAATTAGCAAAATATGTTTGAACCACCGTTGGTGATATTTTAAGTGTATACGCTATCTGTTTGGGAAAATGCATGTTGTAGTCCAGTTGCCAAACCCCCGATTTTTGAAGAACCTTGCAATGCGGTCCATACAAAGTTTTTTTGTTGTTTCTATATCTCTGAGGTGTGCTCTTTCAGAATCTGAATGATGCCACTCTGTCATCCTTGGGCAATTCGCACAATATGCAAATTAAGGTGGCCATTACTGAAAATCCAGTTTTCGTCAATATCTCAGTAACTACTCATGGTATCAGAATAATTTTGGTGTCTATCCCCATGTTTTGAGGGATAACGAATTAAATTAAGCCATTTCAGTAAAGATAGAACCATTATTTTTTGCTACATATGCAAATTTGGGCCTTGTCTGTTATTGACGCACCTGGCTGCCAGCAAGGAGGAGTCCTAATTCCGACCCATGTTCCATGCAAACGCACATGCCTTGGTATAGTTTATCTGACCCAAAACCTGTTCAATATTGAAAGACAAGTTTACCTAAGTCTAGATGGCAGACGTCTTCTTGCATGAAACGCCGCTTGCGTATGATTGTAGACACTGGCTGTTGGTTAGCTCTGGCTCATATATCTGTGTTGGGTATGAAGTCCTGTCGTCTGATACTTTTACTGCATGCTTCTGATAGTGAATGCGTGAGGAAGATCTTAAAAGATCTTCCTCACGCATTCACTATCAGAAGCATGCAGTGATTCCAGTCTCTTTTCTCTTTTCTTGGCTGATTTCCACATAGTAGGTTTCAAAGTCAAGCTAGTTGAAGGCTGCTGAGGCCTTTCCAAGTCTACAGTCTAGCTCATTGTCCATCTGACCCTTGTTGTTGGTGGAGCTCCCAAGGTAGGTGAAGTTCTCCGCCACTTTCAATTTGTTCTCGTCAATGGTCACACTTCTAAGAGGAGCGTGTGTCCCTATCAGCATGTTAATTGATGGCCCTAATGCTGAGCCCAATGCTGTCTGCAGACGGACTATGTTGGTCACTAGGGGTTGGAGATCTCTGGCGTTTTCCGCTATGTCGTCTGCAAAGTCAAGGTCGGCAAACTTTGTCTCTGGAACCCACTTTACCCCCGGCCCTTTTCTCCTGTTGCTTCCCAAGTACCCAGTCGATAGCCACGGGAAAGAGGATCTGTGACAGGACACAACCTTGGAGGATCCGTCTTCAAACCACCAGCTGTATCTAGATTCCTTCAACCGTCCGTACACAACACTTCGAGTTTCAGTATATCTGTTTAACTGCATACATAAGTTTACTTGGCAGTCCATAACTGTACACGATAAAGAGGGACTTTAGATGCTATCAAACGCCTTGCAGAAATAAATGAATCTGATAGCTATAATGAAAAGGGGTTTGCAGTTCAGCACATTTCCTCCACCGCAGGGTGAAGATCTGCTCAGCACAGGATCTTTTTGAGCGAAAGCTAGCTTGTTGCTCGCAGCTCCCAGAAGACCTTGCCTACTGCATCTCTCATGCGGTTCAGGAGGCATTTGGCATACACCTTCACTTGTATAAAAAAGAATTGTCACTTCCCTTAAGTTATCACATTCATTCAGGTTTCCCTTCTTTGGAATACACACTTTAAGCCTAATAGTATGTCACAATTCAAGAAAGGGGCCCGCTCGGCTCGTTTTTGGCCTGTGTTTTGGCACTACCGAATTCGGAACGGGACATGGAAGGCAATAGGCGGGGTTCCCGACGGCTGGACGGCCTATTTTTTTGGTCCCGCGACATCGCCAAATTGATTTGACTCAACTTAACGTCACTTCAGGCCCCGGCGGGCAAGGTACGCAGAAGCGACCCCGTAACCTCACCGGACAAAACCGTAACCTAGCCGCCGGGTCATGCACAGGCACCTGTCCAAGATTATGACGTCACGTGTGTTGTTCTGTGCTTGAATTGTTCAGAAGAAGGTACTAGTAGTTATAGACAATATAGAGGGTAATGTGCTGTTCTCGACATAGTTACATAATCAGTCAGTCATAGTGACCATACACGGGTCTGCGCATCAACCAGCAGGGCCGAACCCACCATACCAGCCACAGGCGTACCAGCCTGGGACCTGCCAGGATCGCCCCTTGACCCCGCCAGGGACCCTGTAGCTACCCGGCCGGAATGCAAGAGCTAGTCGGCACCCTATTGCATCCCGCACAGGTCTGACAGAAGACTGACTGGGCACCGGACGGGTCCCCAACAGAAACCGGTCGTCAAGGGGACCAAAATTTTGTGAATTTTACATAGAAGCCGCCTCAGCGCCCCGACAGGGAGCCGTAAAGGAAAATTCAATTGTGACCCTGGCAGCCGGCGTACGCTCGGCTTCATGACGCCGGCCGGCGTCTACACCGAGAACATGCCGAGCAGGCCCCGTTTCAAATGTGACTCCAGCTGAACTACTGATCCGTTCTTCCAGTCCTCCAGCACTTCCCTGTGATCGCCGTTGAATGCCAGCTTATATTCCAGGGAAGGCGTACTAGGGAAGACGGCTATGGTTCTATTAAGCGTTTGCGATTTACGGCGATCAGAAAAGCATCCATCTCACAACACAGTCACCCTCGGCTTTCAGCATCTCTGAAGTGATGCCATTCATGCCTGGTGACTGACTTCAGCTTCAGAGATGTCCTCGATCTCAACAGGTAATGGGTGTAGGTGTTCATCAAAGACTAATGCTACTGAGGTATGGCTTGAGCGGTTTAAGACTTTTTGAAAAGTATTCTGCCCACCTGACAAGCTTGTCCTCCCCCTAAGACAGTGGTAGGGTCCCATCCTCCGCCTTAATTAGGACTGTGCACTTTTGAGCGGCCGCCGGTCATCTTCCTGGAGATCTGTTAAGCTTTTGTCCCAATTGTAAAAAAAAAGTGCCTGGCGGGTAGTTCCCGGGCTGTTTTTGACACTTTCAGCCGTGGGACACCCCGCGGCTACCGGGCTATTTTTCTTTGGCCTGTCCGGGACTCAAGAAGAATCCAACTTAAATTCTACGCGGGCCACGCTGACATAAAATTCAGGACGTCAAGTTAGCGCTTTATTCTGCCTGTACACAGACGCTGGTAAGGCACAGGTGTGAGCTTATGAAGGGTCTAATATTTTTTTTGAACAGATTGTATCATTTATTAACATTCCTATCAGTGTTCAGAGGTACAGGCGCCCATGCTATATACTGGTTAGTTTTTGCATAATTTGCATTAAATTTTGGTGTGATCAATACTGGGATGGTTTATTCTGATTATCTAGCCTTCAAAACATGTGTATAGTACAAATGTATGTGTATTATATCAAAAGTATTGTTGATACCATGAGATTTATTGAGATATTGACGAAAAACAGATTTTCAGTAATGGCGGCCTAAATTTTCAAATTAAGCACAAAAATATCTATTTGATCTCCACTGAAATGGCCTATCCTCAATAGTTATTCCAAAAAACATGGGGAAAGACACCAAAGATATTATAATATCATATGTAGTTACTGAGATATTGACGGAAAACAGATTTTCAGTAATGGCCACCTTGATTTGCCTATTGTGCGGCTTTAATTTGCATATTCAGCACAAAAAAACTGGTTTGATCTTTACTGAAATGGCTTAATTCCATTCGTTATCCCTCAGAACATGGGGATAGACACCAAAATTATTCTGATACCATGAGTAGTTCCTGAGATATTGACGAAAAACAGATTTTCAGTAATGGCCGCCCTAATTTGNTATATATATATATATATATATATATATATATATATATATATATATATATATATATATATATATATATATATATATATGTATGTGTGTGTTAATTTAAAGGTCATTTGTATAATAAATGAGGACATGTTGAATGAAAAAAATTCCAATAGATAGGAATTTCTCACGCAAAATATTGTAATTTGGATTTAGAAAACCATAAATTAAATTGTTAAGAGTCATTGCATGAGAAAACCAGGCAGAGGCGGGAAGATGGGGGTCGGCCAAATCAGCTCATACTTTGTATGTGAGATAGGTATAAGGAACTATTAACAGCCAAATAGTTAAAACCCTCCAGATATTTTTCGTTATGGAGTTCTGGGACCCCCCTCTGAGACCCTCAAAAATCTAACAATTTAGGACTGAAAATTATTGAAATTACAATGGACACCACGGTTATTCTAATAATGATATGAACATGGGGTTTCTTTTGTCTCATAGCATGTGTCTTCTACTTTTACAAAAGAAAAATTGAAGATGCAACATTGAAGTTAAAAGCTGCCGACGGAGCTTCACGAGATATGTGTTTTTCTAACATTGACAGCAAGGGCATTTTGCATACTTCCCGCTCCTACAGCTGTTATTATTGGCATGTACATGCAGGTGCAATGCGGCATTTCGTAAGTCCCGTTTCTCATTTTTCAGAATCTATTGAAAATTAAATTCTCTTCTGTTTGGACAATGTAAGATCAAAATCCTTTAGGACCCTATCACTTTAACTATGTACATACAACACAATCTGAGATAATTTTTGTTTGCATTTTAGCAACTTTATTTTCGTTTAAATGAACCGTTCTATATCCAGTTCACTGACAGGTAACTTTAGGCGGTAACCGTTGTCTCTCTAAATACGCGTTTATGACGCCAGCGGTGTGTATTGGAAAACTACTTAAACGGCAAGAAGAATCCCCTTCCCTTTTCTCTCATGCTAAGCAGAATACGGGATTTACAAAATGCTTATAAATTTGCATCTGAGTTATAAAATTAACATGGATTTTAACAACTGTAATAATCAGGTATATAGATGCAGCCACACAATGACCTTATTATGAAATCCATTCCAAGTTTATACATGATATATTAGTACAATTCGCAGTGTGAATTGCACTGAATCAAAATCGGATTTACATATACTAAAATATCTTAATTAGATAAAAACAGTTGCAGTGGCTAGAATATTGAAGTCTATTCACGCATGTTGGCGTTTTAAGGCCCGCGTCAGCTTCCATGTCGTATGTCATCAGAAAAAGCAATATAGTTTCACCACACCACTTCGTGGTGTGGTGAACCCATAATTAGTAATGTCTATGTTCTAATATCTTAGATCATCACTGGACTGGAATTTCAAAGCCATTTAAGATCTAGAAACCTTCATTGATTCCATACTATGTGTAGCGGTAAATGTAAAATAGAATAGATGATAAGAATAGAAAATGAGTTTAAGGTTATTTGTAAAAAGGCAGAATGTTAATGTTATAAGTATCCTCCTTACCTCTTCTAGGTACACTGTAACAGCACGTTGAAGCGACAGCCTTTTCTTGTTCATGCTGTCTTCAAGGGCTTTACGGTTTTCAAAATTACAATAACGGATCTCAGTAACCGTTACCGGTTCACTTCCATTTTTAGATCCGTTGTTACCAACATCCGGTTTTGTTGTATTTTGCGTGTAGTACTTCCGGCCAGTTCCCACTTCTGTCTCAAGATCCCTAAGATGATAATTAATTATTAATCGTTTGTTTTACTATGAATAAAGTTACAGCATAAACTACACATATTACAAATCAAATAGTTAAAATGTCATTGTTCTAAGTACATTATCTGAATGTGTGCATGCACTATCTACTTCGTGATTTAAAAACAATACTGAATCTACAATCTACTCCTCTATATCAATTAGATATCTAGTATAATACATCTTGTTTAATGTGGTAACCTGTCTATTTCGACCATTTCATTTGATTACTTCTACATTAACTATAGGCAGGTTTAGTTGAAAGGTTTTTAGTACTATATACTTAATTGTATAGTCCTACCTTCCAAAGCAACCATAGTCCTCCTCTCCTGCAGGGAAGAGCGAGACGAAGGGGATGTTCAGTAGATCTGAGACCAGCCTTAACACGAAGGAGAAGGGTTTGGGGTAGTCGTTAATGGACTCTAACCAGTCCTTCAGCTCTGTTGTTAGGGCTGTCGTGTACATCTCCGTGATGGCAGCGGCGATCGTCTGGTCTCCGCCTTGAACCACCAGAACCTCATTACTGTACTCCTGGGCTGACCTGAATGGAAGAGATCAAATATTGAGCTCAATCTGTGATTTTGACAAGTTAAATTATAATTTTAACTAAACCAAGTATCATCTCTAAAATCAAACAAAAGATCCCATTTTAGTTATGCATATCTGTTTCAAATTAACAACAAAGATCTTTCAAAGTCTATATGCACAAGTAAATGAGACTGAACATTAAAAACGAAACAAGATCGTTTGGAAGAATAATAATGACATTGGCATTGTAAAAATACTAGATTATGCAATTTTGCACCTACAACGGGCCTTATTTGCAACTGATAATAATAAAGTTGCATTCATGACTATATTTAACTATTAAATAAACAGACTTAAGCATGCTTCTCTTCTTGTCTGTTGGCCTGTGATTCAGAATCAGAAGCTGCTTGTCCAGAAGACTGTTTTGATTCAGTCTTTGTCTCGTGCTCGTGCCACCAGCTACTGGACTTGGTCTGTGACGCCTGCGCTGAGAATGTGCTGAGTGTCATCTTCCAGTCAGCCTCGGCTTTAGTCGCAAATTCAGACATCGACAGGTCCCGTGTAGCTTGTTTTGTTTTGATGATCTTTAGCTGGCCTCCAAATTTGGCTGACTTGATGTAGTGTGTTCCCCAGCGGAGGTAGAAGTTTTCTGAAATAGAAGTAATATTACCGTTATTGCTATAGACAACAAGCCACCAGTAAACGTGTTTTAGATAATTACAATTTGTAGTGGTTCCATCACCAATAATTTACATTTCCCTATTAATTAACAAGTCATAAACATTTTAAAACATTGAAATTGAGTTTAATGCATTTGCCTTAGTTAATAAACTAAATAGATTTGATATAACTAAACTGAGTATTTTTCACTTACGGAAGATAATTTCTGCACCGGGAGAGAAGTAGGACTCAGGCAGGGAAATAAAGTCTCGTAGGAAGCCCACGTTTAACTGTTCAGGCGTCACGTCGTCCATGAAGATCTCATATCTAGGTATCACAGAACAAAAATACTAACAGGTCATTTCCTTTTTTTATAGCTAAATAACCTAAATATTCATCATTTTCGACTGTTTATTACTGATATTATTCTGTGCAGAAAAAAATGTAATCCAGAGTATATTTGACCTGTAAAAGAAGCATCATCATTTATCACCTGAATATGTTTATCTCCAGCATGGCCATGAATGCTTGTGTCTGCTTCTCACTGAGCTGAGCGCTGGCACAGGAGCTGGAATTGAAGTCTGATGATTTTCTGGATGTGCCACTCTGGCTGGATCCTCCTACTCCTGCTGACCCACCAAGTCCAAACGGTCCACCCACTGCTACGTGTCCAGAAGCCTTGTTGATCTCTTCCTGGAACATGGCACTGGCAGAAGTGACGGCTGATTTCTCCGCAAGGTATTTCCTGTATTCTTCTGTTGAGCTGAAGGTGTGGGATTCTACATCTGTGTCGTATATGCCTTGTACTGTCATAGAGTCAGGGACTTCGTTTTCACCGTATCTGTTCAAAGTTAAAAAGAAAATAAGTTTTATCCTGAAAGTTAATCTGTGTTGGTAGAAGTCATTATGTAGCAAGTTTAAACTGTAATCTCCAACACAAGAAATTGGACTCACCGAAAATTTCGACTGTACAACACCAGTTTTTGTCGAGGAATGAGCAACCCACCGCTTCCGTGACGTCAGGCAGATAGCACACGTGACTCCGTGAGCAGTGGATAATAGTTTGCATGGGATAATAGGTTGCATAGGATAAATGAGCGGGTAGAACGGGTTCATACGACGTTACAACTCTGTTCACCTCAGTTCCAGTAGACAAAGCAGTTGATGTAAGGAAGGAAGACAGCACTCTTCCACAACGGTCCAAACTATCCCCAGAACAGTTGGTGGACTTGTTGAAGGTGTGTCTTAACTGCACTTACTTTGATGGCATTTTCTACAAGAAAATCCATGGAGCTGCCGTGGGGTCACCTGTGTCCCCCATTGTATGCAATCTATACTTAGAGCATTTAGAACAACGTGCCATTAAATCTGCCCCACACCCTCCTGTGTGGTGGTACAAATACGTTGATTACACTTTTACTAAGCTTAAGAAGGCGTACGCTCAAGTGTTCACAGAACATCTAAATGACATTGACCCTGACATAAAATTCAGAGGAAGAGAATAGGTCACTAGCCTTTTTGGATACGCTAAAAACAGTAAAAGAGGACGGGTCCCTGCAGGATAAGATATACCACAAACCCACACATACTGACCAATATTCGAACTTTCATTCTAATCATTCCCTGGATCATTAACTCGGGGTTATTCGCACTCTTTTTTACAGAGCGGAAACAATTATCACTGATCCTCAAGATTTAGAAGACGAGAAATTTCACATTTCACAGGGACTAAGAAAGTGAGGGTACCCCACTTGGGCTTTAGACAAGGCCATAGACAAAAGCCCACAGACAGTAACCAGTATCAGAGCAAAAACAAAAGCCTAGTTGTTCTGCCTTACAGGGAAGGTCTGAGTGAAGTGCTCAGGAGGATCTTTGCTGCACATGGGATTAAGACCTGTTTTAGACCAACTAGAACCCTCCGGAATACACTGGTCTCACCTAAGGACAAAACACCAAAGGAAAGCAAGTGTGGGGTAGTTTACCATATAGATTGTCAAGGACAGACTTCCAAGGGCCCGTTTAAGGAAACCTATATTGAAGAGACTGAAAGATCTTTCAAGGGTAGGTTCTGAAAACACAAACGACCTAGCTCGACTACTTCGGAGGTCTCACAACATATACACATAGAATCACCTGGTCATTCAGTGTCACTGTACAAAGTAAGAATCTTGGACTCAGAACCGGACTTCTTTGCACGAGGGATTAAAAAGGCCATTTACATCAGGGCATTACAACCATCACTCAACAGAGACGGGGGGCCACAGACTTTCTGCAACCTATGATCCACTGCTTACGGAGCCACGTGTGTTATCTGCGTATCGTCATGGAAGCGGTGGATTGCTCATTCCTTGACAAAGACTAGAGTTGTACAGTCGTTAATTTAGGTGAGCCCAATTTCTTGGGTTGGAAAGTACAGTTTAAACTTCCTGCATAAGAAAATAAGTTACAGCGGTCCGCGTTGTACGAAGATTTGACGTTGCCGTAATATAAGCAAATTATGATGTAAATTTGGTCAAAATTCATAGACGCCCGATTATTAAATGCATTGAGGTCGTGTACGATTGAACATGAGGGATTGGTTTCACGGATGTTTCAGATTGTGATCGCCCGTACTTTCACCAGCGAACCGCGGTCATTTTTTCTCCAAAATACGAGTAATGAAATATAAACATAAAAATGTGTCTTGCGTTGGTAAAGGTTAGACACACAGGTAGGATGATGCGCAGAAAACATTCGCTCATTAAGCAACTGGATATAAGTTTGGATTTTTCAAAATTAAATCAGTTGCTTGGGTAGATATTTTTGACGTAAAATGTGTCTTACATACGTTTGCAAGGTTTTGGCATGATCTCTGGATGACACTTTTCTTCCTAGATTTCAGCCGAGTACACGCCTCTTCCGTCGAAGCCAACGCCGAGGTAGGTTGCGCCGTCAATCAGGTTCTGTACATTGCATTAATACATCTAAGTTATATGCTAAGGATCAGAAGAATGAAGCGTGTTATAAATACACGAATAGAATAAAAAAATAAACACAAAGCGAATATCCAGATGTTTCTGCATACTGGTATACGTTTTCCTCTATTCCACATTGCCACTGTGTTCGTTCTTATTAGGCCCTGTATCTATAATAGCCGTTTTTTAAATCATTCTGACTTTCACGAACTAAAGAATGAAAAGCTTAAAGATGGACGCGATCTATTTTATTTTCGGAATGTAGCATTATTGCCCTAATGGTCTATAACGAAAAAAATGACAATATTTTAAAGTAGCTAACAGCTTATGGTATAGCAAGGGTATATTGTCTTTAGAAATTTAACCCTACCTAGACCGGGGGGGGGCTAAAAGTGCCCGCGGCAACTTTGATGTCACCTAGCGTCTGAACGGCTAGCCGTAGAACAGCCAAACTTAGTGACTTTTCCTAGAATGTTGTTGGCAACAATTCTCTATCATTGGAATAAGATAATAATTTTTTGTGTTGCCATGGCAACGGGTTTCTGACAGGCATTTTTTGCTAAATTTAGTACTTTTTGTTTCAACAATAGAATTTTATGGGTTTTATGTCAAGTTACTCATGGTTT